GTTTCTTGAGGCTAACAAGGATGGAAAACGATGTGGCCTTCAGCACTTGCAGACTTTCTTAAACAATTCCCCTGACTCCCCAGTCTTTTCAGCATGGAGTGCTAACAGCTTGCTTCTGTAGCTCCTGTGCAGTCTTTCAATGACACCTTTTTTTCAGACAAAAGCAGCCCCTCACTCTTTTCCTTTTGCTTGCCTTGCCCTTAGCCTCATTCACACTTCACAAAACAACCGTTAGGTCTGTCAAATCTTGCCTTTCAAGAGGAGTAGCAAGAGCAAGAGAACCAGCTCATTTTTAGCACCTGAGCTTTATTAATGAACTGTGTCCCCCTGTGATTGGACTCTAATCAGTGACTCACCTGGCTACCTTCTGGACTCATGGTCCTAAGTTCAAGGAGAAGCTTTGTTGTCAGGGCAAGGTACAGCATGAAGGGAGGTCAAAATGCACTGGCATGTTTTGTGGGCTGTCCTCCACCTGGCTTGCCAATTGTATTACATTATTCACTTGTCCTCTGCCTTTTTCATCTCATTTTTAAAATTATCTCTTACCTGCATCTCCTCATTCTTTCCACTCTGATGTTCATTAAGCCAATGAATACTCTTAATTCAGTGTTTATGAACTGCTGCTGGTATTTATAAACTTTGGTGCCAGCAGTTCGACAGTTTTTCTTAGATGTCCAAGAGAAAGTCAAAGCTGTTGACATAAGTAGGAGTAATGGACTCCAAATGTATAAAAATCCTGTACTGCAGTTTGCACACTGTAGTGAGTGGTGAGGAGGAGGTATCTGTTAGGCTTTCGGCCAGTTGTTTTTTCACATGGCTCATTTTGGGGTGGAGAAGAGCTTTAAAGGCAGTTTCTCACAGCAGCTGCAGCCAGGCAGATGAGAAAGCAGGGCAGTTTACACCAGCTGGCAGTGGCGAAGCTGAGCCTTCTGGTTAGTCACCTCAGCCTCAGCCACCCAAGTCTGCAAGCTGAGAAGAGATCACAAGTGGAGGAGGGGACAAAAAATAGTGTATATATGGTTCAACATTAAAAAATGAGGGAATAATCCCTAGATCATGCTTTAATTTAATTACAATCTTTAGTAAGGTTCACTGCAAAAACATAATAAAAAATGTCCTTGGCTGCCTTTGAATTTGCCCACTGATACCTTTCCATTCCTCACCTTTTCTTCTCACCATGCTCAAATGTCACAGCACCCTGTCATGTGCTCAGACATTAGCTTTTGGTGGGGCGAAAACAGGCCCAGTGGTCCACATTATCCGTAGGTGCAAAAGGACAACCCCCTTGGCAATTTTGTGGCTGTGTTAGGAGGATTTACCTCCCCAAGTAGAAACAAAAGGAAGGTAGACTCTTAATGTAATTGAGAATTTTCATCCCAGCACATTGCTCTGGTAATCTAAAAAAAATCCTGGTAACCTAAACCACCACCAAATATCACAGAAGTCTCAATAATACCTTAAGAGCTGGCAACCTGCAATAATAATGAAACAGTGTGTCTTATAAGTAACAAAATTATCTAAGATTTTTCATATGCATTTATACTGTTACTTTTTATGTGGGTGTATTCACAAGTGATCAAAATTCATATACAGTTACTGTATTACAGACTAAATTATGTAATAACTTTTGTGATTTCAAGATAGGCTGAGTTTTAAATGTTAAGAAAACTTTCTGAGCTAGCTACTTAAAACTTGCTGTAGTGTAATTCAGATTAAGCCACAGTTAATACAAAGTATCACAGTTTTCCGTTGCAGTGTTAATTTTTTATACAAACATTAGCTTTCACAAAAGCTTCCTGTGCTGAAGCATTTATGTATTGGGTGGATACAAACATGTAAGCTTGTGACAAGATTAACTTTTAAGAAAAAACAAAGAAGTAACGAAATAAGTAAGAATAATCTCACACTTAAAGGTGCTTTTAAAAAAGGTACATTAGGAAACAAGACATCCTTAGAAAAAGCACTTCTTTCTCAATAGTTTTCTGGGGCTAAATCAGCTGACTAGATAGTTCAGTTGCTCTTAAAAATCAAATAATAGATTATCCTTAAAGTTCTGGCATGTATTAAATACTTCCATGTCTAAGTTAGGATTTCAAGAAGCTCAGTCAGAATGGCACTCATTCTGCCTAAAACTGTTAAATGTTTTGAACAGTTTATTAAGTTTCTTTATGTTTGCCTCAAGCAGGTCATTCTTCGTTGCCAGTCTTTACTTTGATCACTAGAAGTGTTTTCTTTACCACACATGAAGTAATAATAAGCAGTCCAAATGTAGCCAGTATTACTGAGGTACCTAAACTGTGCTAGCAGAGAGCTAGGAGAAGTCACACTGTTCATCTGTAAATGCAGTGTGTTTCCAGAAGGGGTTGTTGCATCAGCTTACTGAATATATTTTAATAGTAGTTTCTTTATGAAGTTCTGTAACAGAAAAAAAATAAATAAAAAATAATGAAGCTGAAGGTTAATTTTAATCACTTGATTTTTTTTATTCAGAAGTGGTTTGCACTAAGACATAAATTAAAATTTAATACCAACTTTCCCTTGAGTCATCAGTCATTTGGGGAGGGCTTTCTTCTAGTGAGCCCAGCCCTTGTCTAGAGTCAGTGAAGACAGTTAACATAAAAAACACGGCAAAATGGGAAATCTGACTGTTACTTCTGGAGCTGCTGTCTAGCCATAGACCTGCTGAGCTGGTTCATGGTCTCTAAAGGGAGCCTCTAATAGCTGTTGTTCAGGGCTGTGGTTAGCCAGAGCTCAGTAGGAATGACAGCTATGTTTCTTGAAAAGCACACTGCAAGACCCAGAAAGTGGCCCATCTCTGACCCTTCAATACAGGAGAGCACAAGCTAACAAATTCAACAGTTAGCTTTTCAACTAAATAGTCTTGGATTCTCCTGTTTCACCTGGCCAAATAAACACATATTTAAACAAACAGCTTTGCCTGTCTTCCCCTTCCTGCTGCTTCCTTGCAGAGTCAGGCATCTCTCCAATTTTGCTCTTCACTCCAGCTGCTTTTGGAGTCTCTTCAGCAGTTACTTACATGGTATTTCATGGGTGAGGAGGAATGTCTTTTTCTTTGCATCACCTTCAAAGTTTGTCTTATGGGTTTGTCCCCCTGACACAAGCAGCCCCCAGTTCCACTCAGGACTAACCCGTGTCACCCTTGTGCCTCATAGTCCGCCTCACACCTGTCTCTTGGTTTCCTCCCATTGCCCATATGCCTGTTGTTGTGCTTGCTTTCCTTTGGAGAGCAGCAGCCAGGATAAGAGAGAAAGTGGCTAAGACTGCCTTTCTGCTCTCCTTTCCTGTCCCATCTGGTTTTGGCAGAAAATGTAACTAGTGGGTTGGGTTTGGCCAGCTGCCAGATGCCCACCCAGCTGCTCTCACACTCTGGCTTCTCAATGGGACAGGGGTAGAAGGTGGAAGAGCTCATGCATTGCAGTAAAGGTAGGGAGATCACTCACCAGGCAAAACAGGCTTGGCTTGGGGTACATTAGTTTCATGTATTGCCAATTAAAAATAGATTAGGAAGGTAAGAACCAGCTCTCTCTGCTGTGCCCCCTCCCCCCCCTTTTTTTCCTCAGGCTCAACTTAACTCAATTCAGGTATGGGGAACACTCACTGAATTCAGCGGAGTGCGGAGCAGAGACCGTGGTCATAAAATCATAGAATGCATTGGGTTGGAAGGGACCCTTAAAGATCATATAGTCCAACCCCCCTGCAGTGAGCAGGGACCTCCCTCTAGATCAGGTTGCTCAGAGCCCCATCAAGCCCGATCCTGACCACTGGGGATGGGGCCTTCACCACCTCTCTGGGTAACCTATTCCACTGCTTCACCGTCCTCATTGTAAAGAACTTCTTCCTAATGTCTAATTTAAATGTACCCTTCTCTACTTAAGGCTATTGCCCCATATCCTATCTCTACACGCCCTCTCACACAGTCCCTCCCCAGCTTTCCTGCAGGCCTCAGACAGTCCATAACTGCTCCTCTCTCTGCTGTTCCTTCCTCCTTGTGCTGTTCCCTTGATCTGCTGTGGTCTCTTCAGGTGAAGAGGAATCTCTGCTCCACCATGGAGCAGCACATCCTCCACTCCTTCCCTTCTCACCTTAGTGTCTGCCCGGCTGCTTTTCACAATTTCTTCCTCACGCTGCCTGTGTGGTGGGTTGGTTTGTTTTTTTTCCCCCCCTTCCTTAAACCTGTTTTCCCAGAGGTGCCACCACCTTGGCCAAGGGGCTCAGCTGTGCCCCACAGTGGGTCGGTTGGACCTGGCTGTGTCTGACTCAGAGCAGCCCTGGCCCCCTCGCAGCAGTGACCCTGCACCCCCTGCATTACTGCACAGCATGAGCACTGTAAGCTGTGGGTGGACAGAACAATCTGGCAATTCCTCATCTTTGGCCTCAGGCTATGTGACTTTTCAGAAATACCTGACATCAGTTGCCAAAAAAACTGGTTGCCTACATGCAGCAGCTTTGCCATGTGTGATGTGGAGGGAAGACACTTTCGGAGGTTGACAGAGATACTGAATTGAGTAAAAAGTCATCTGAGGGTTTTCTGGCAACCAGCTTTGAGTTAACAGGAGTGACATAAGGCCCAGCCTGTTACCTCGTGATGCGCAGTTGAAATCAAAGATTGCTCCTGAAATGTTGCTGTAAAGTTCACTTTTGAGTGTGCTGTGTTGTGGAAAGCAGACCTCTTTCTCTATGCTTTCAGAAGACATCTAGAGTAAGTAACTTGAGGCTAAACTGAGTTTTTGATGAGTGTAGTATCTGCAGTTTTATTTCAGGCCCCCTGAATGCGTTTGTGTCTCCTGTGTGTGCTGCTGGCAACACTGGTACCTCGCTGTAGCACCACTAGGTGCCTTTGTGAATCCAATCTGGGCAGCTCAGCACAAGCAGTGCCATCCTGCCCGAGCAAGTGGATGTTTGTTGTGCACCCTGGTGTTGTTCTGGGACGAGATTAATTCCAGCACGCTCATATTAATCCATTATATGTCTCTTTCCAGCACAAATGGACCCCCGAGGCCTATCTCCCAGACAAATTAAAAGTGACAGTGATGATGACGACCTGCCAAATGTGACCTTAGATAGCGTTAATGAAACTGGATCTACAGCGCTCTCCATAGCCAGAGCAGTACAAGAGTAAGTATCACATTCCCAGAGCGAGATGAGCGTTGCCAAGGTGCTCCCAGGCTGATGGAGCCACCGGCCCCTGGGGGCTTCCAGGGGCGTTCCCCCAGCTGTGGGCCTGCATGCCAACAGCTCTTCTTCTGTAGCTTTCTTCGCTCTAGGAAGAGATGGCTGTACCTCTCCTCTTTCTTTCTTTCTTTCTTTCTTTCTTTCTTTCTTTCTTTCTTTCTTTCTTTCTGCCTGCCTGCCTGCCTGCCTGCCTGCCTGCCTGCCTGCCTGCCTGCCTGCCTGCCTGCCTTCCCTCCTGCCTT